ACCCCACCCCACCCCACCCCAAACCAACCACAACTAACTTAATCACATGCAGTTTAGGTATCATTTTTGTAGGTGTATAATGTTGCTTTGGTTGTTTGAAAGGAGGATTTTCATGTGTGTCTTTGTGGTTTGGTCTCATTGATACCACTATGTTGGAAATATATAACTGATGTGGAAAGTATGCTCACAATCTAAAGGTAGCAAAAACCTTAAATTATGGTCAATTGATGGAACAGAAAAAGATACTTAAGATGTAAACTATATGAAATCTCTCCTATAACGAAACATATAGTTGTAAGCCCTTAATTCAAGGTTTAGAAATTTTGTGCCAAATTTTTTAAGAGATTCCAAAAGCAAACTTTCTTCTATTCTATACCCATTTGTAAGATCCTGCATCACCACTTTGAGAATTTCATTACCAGAATTAGTTTTCCAAGCCTAGCAAGTTTTATTTTGATGACCCCAGGAATTGAGGAAGTTGGAGACAAATTAAGGGAACAATCCCCCCCCCCCCCCAAAAAAAAAAAAGGCGCCCCCTTAAAAGAACAAAGGTAGGAACTCCTAATAAGGCCCGGGAACTTCCCGATGTTTCAAATAAAAGAAAAAACCCTGGGAGAAAGCATTCTTATCTTTCTTTGGCTTATCAAATACACTGCACAAGTAACGGCTTCGGCCCAAAAGTGCCTGTTGTTGATAACATGTTAGGAAAGCATAGGTTTTCTGGAGCCTACTAACACCCTCTAACCTCTATCCCACCTCCCCATTGTTATATCACAAGTTTTTGCTACATTGCGAGACATCTTCACTTCTGTTGTTGCATACAAGAACCTGACATGTGACAACTCAGGCCTTGATGTTTTCTCACACCAAGAGCACATAGTTTGCTTGGCAGGAAGCCATACCGTACCTTCAGCACAGCTTTGTGCTAAATCGCTGCTTCTGTCTTTTCGCCAGATATTGTTTCCTACTCCTATATATGCTGTAGCTTAGAGCCATAGCTCAGAGGTACTTCAAATTGCTTTCTGTAAAGTCATTATTCATCACATCCTTGGTAAAAAAACAGTCTACTCATATTACTATCATCAGTCATGACTAGCTTAGTTCCCTCCTTTTTTAGTGCAAACAATTTATCAAATGGGGTTGTTTAGCCTATCCAAGTAGAGCATTCGTCAAAGATATCAGAAACAATCTTTGAGAAACTAGAGACTCATCTCTCTTGGTAAAGAACAAAAGAAGGGACTGAAGAAAAATTTCCACATGTAGAACTTGGTTGTACAAGTGAATTTTATCTTTATTTACGTATCTTCTTTTTCCTGGAGGAGAACTTAATCTACAAGTATCTTAGTTCATTCACACATAGCCCTAATAAGTCTACTTATGATATTTGCGATAGATGATTAAATGTGATCAATGTATTATAATTTTCTTGCGTAACCTACTTTCACCCTTTGCTTTGTTGCCTGGCATCTTGGGAACATTTGTTTGTTCACTCCACCATTTGTATTTGCAGTTGTTGGTCTTATCTTGAATTGCCTTGCTGCAAATACATGATAACATGATACAAGTATACAAGGATTTGAATCTTGAGAACCAGCAGTGAAATGAGATGTGAATTTGAGTTCTTATAATGACATCTGCCACATCCTGTTGGTAGTGCGGATCAGATATGTGATTTATTTTCAAGGGTCACACATATGTTTGTTAGTCCGTATTCAAATCCGTCCATTAGTCCCTATTTCTATAATGAATTACATAAGAAATGATATCAACATGGATTTTGTTGCAATCTACTGTATGGAAGTAAGTTACTATTTGTTCCCAGAAGGAAGAAGTAAGATACCTTGCCAACAACTAAAGAGTAAACTTCTTCGTCTGTAAACATATGCCCAGATTTTACCAGTTTTAAATACGCCTCCTGGTTGTCTTGGATCATGGTTTGATCCAGTAGCGACATGTTTGCATGCCCTTCTTTTTTTCTTTATTTATCTTAGAGATTTTGTTTCTTTGTTTTATCTTTTTGTACTTGCAATCTCATTAGATAATTGAATCCCTCACCTTCTGCATTGCCAGGTATATGACGTGTCATCTTATTTGGAAGAACACCCAGGTGGAGATGATGTTCTCCTCGCTGCAACTGGTACTCTTCCTATCTTATATTTTGGATATTCAAACTTAAAAATAGTTTCTAGCAAGATATAGAGCCGGAGATGACTTGCGCTTGGATTTAATGTTGAAGGGAAAGATGCCACAGAAGAATTTGAAGATGCCGGGCATAGCAAGAGTGCAAGGGAGCTCATGGAGGATTTCTGCGTTGGGGAGCTTGATCCATCTTCCCCATCCATCCCAGAACTTGAGATTGTGTCCAAGAAACAACCGACAGGCATTCCCCAGAAGCTCATGGACTTGACAAAACAATACTGGGTTGTTCCAGTAGCTGTTGTTGCCATATCTGTGGTTGTCGGATTCTTGCACTCGAGGAGAAAGTGAGGGAATTAAAATGTCACCAAATTTAGATTTATTAGAACCATACTTATTGAGAGAATTTGCCCATTAAAACATATGAAGTTTTTAGACTTGGGTTAGATGAGGACGGCCAATTTTGTGCTACTAGTAATTGTTACTTGTATGGTGATCAAATGAAATGTTGCCTGCAGTAGTTTTGTATCAATATAGAGATTGATTACAGCAGGTATGACCTTGAGGAGATCTCAGGCACTGAGAACCAGGAACTGGGATGTGAGAAATGGGAATTGATTATTGTGTACTTCTTGCATTAAAGCCTCTACAATAGTAGACATCTGCTTGAAAGTTGAAACTATACTCTTTTAATGGATGTGAATTTACGTGGTCACTGTCCATTGCTTGGGTCCGGCTCCTCTGTTGTTAATTTTAAACAGTTAAGGTGTTAATTTTTAACAGCCGAGGTTCAATTTTTTTTTTTTAACTGAACATAGATTGAAATTGATAGGCTTATAAAGCCCTAAATCTTCAATGCTTTTGTTTTATTAAGGTAAAAGTAATTATATCAATCATATATTTTTAAAATTCGTAGTTATAATGAAAATTTTAAATACATGCAATTCTTTACAAATTAAATACATTAAACTGCTTTTATTTCCTACTTGTAAAAAGTCAGATTGTAGATTGAAATGACTACAAAAATTTTATTGAAATTTAATATATTTGGTTATAAAATTTAAAATATTTTATATTTTATATTTGATTGGAATATTTTTGGTGTAAGTACAATATTTTAAACTTAAAAGGTTTAATAATTATAAACCTACAAACTTCGTAGGGGTTTAAGTGAATCAAATGATAAACTTCAAGGGGCACTGGTACAATTTACTCAAAAAATTTAGATCAATTCATAAAACCACTCTTTTATTGAAAACTAATTAAGTTAAATCGTAACCTTAATTTTATTTTATACTAATTTTAATTACTTGGCAAAAAATAACTATTTTGATATAATATACTCAACCTCAAACGACCCACCGAACGAGAGAGAGAGAGAGTGAGGGAGAGAGATGAATCAGGCAGTGCAGAAGAACACTCTGTACGTAGGGGGTTTAGCGGAGGAGGTTAACGAGTCAATACTCCACGCCGCCTTCATACCGTTCGGCGACATTAAGGACGTCAAGACCCCTTTGGATCAGGCCACCCAAAAGCACCGCTCCTTCGGCTTCGTCACTTTTCTTGAGAGAGAGGACGCCTCCGCCGCCATGGACAACATGGACGGCGCTGAGCTCTATGGCCGTGTCCTCACCGTCAATTACGCCCTCCCTGAAAAAATCAAGGGTGGTGAACAGGGTTGGGCCGCTAAGCCCAGTAAGTAACAACGCCCCCATTCATTCGTTCCTGCTCATATTATTCACTCCTTTCTAAATCTCCTTCACTCCTAACCCTAATACTATATGCATATACTATACATGGAGGGGTGTGTGTGTTGTTCTGATTATATTGTTTTGGAGTCTTGGGTTTTTTGACCGCATCTGTTTATTGGTTTTGCAATAGTTTTTTATTTTTGGGTGTGTGTGTGTGTTCTTCTTCTGATTATGTTGGTTTGGAGTCTTGGGTTTTATAACCATTTTCTGTATATTGGGTTTGCACTTGTTTTTTTTTTTTTGGTGGGTGTTTGTTTTTCTTCTGATTATCTTGGTTTGGAGTTTAGGGTTTTATGACCAATTTGTGCATATGGGTCTTTTTGTAAGTACCACGCCTGTTCATTCCCGCTTCTATTAATCACTCATTTCTTACTCTTCTTAAACCCTAACCCCAAACCTTTATTAAATTATATTCTTATACATGGGTATATAATTTAATAGCTCTTTAGCCATGTGTATATGCTTATGTGTGTGTGTGTGTGTGTGTGTGTGTGTGTGTNTTGTAGATTGAAATGACTACAAAAATTTTATTGAAATTTAATATATTTGGTTATAAAATTTAAAATATTTTATATTTTATATTTGATTGGAATATTTTTGGTGTAAGTACAATATTTTAAACTTAAAAGGTTTAATAATTATAAACCTACAAACTTCGTAGGGGTTTAAGTGAATCAAATGATAAACTTCAAGGGGCACTGGTACAATTTACTCAAAAAATTTAGATCAATTCATAAAACCACTCTTTTATTGAAAACTAATTAAGTTAAATCGTAACCTTAATTTTATTTTATACTAATTTTAATTACTTGGCAAAAAATAACTATTTTGATATAATATACTCAACCTCAAACGACCCACCGAACGAGAGAGAGAGAGAGTGAGGGAGAGAGATGAATCAGGCAGTGCAGAAGAACACTCTGTACGTAGGGGGTTTAGCGGAGGAGGTTAACGAGTCAATACTCCACGCCGCCTTCATACCGTTCGGCGACATTAAGGACGTCAAGACCCCTTTGGATCAGGCCACCCAAAAGCACCGCTCCTTCGGCTTCGTCACTTTTCTTGAGAGAGAGGACGCCTCCGCCGCCATGGACAACATGGACGGCGCTGAGCTCTATGGCCGTGTCCTCACCGTCAATTACGCCCTCCCTGAAAAAATCAAGGGTGGTGAACAGGGTTGGGCCGCTAAGCCCAGTAAGTAACAACGCCCCCATTCATTCGTTCCTGCTCATATTATTCACTCCTTTCTAAATCTCCTTCACTCCTAACCCTAATACTATATGCATATACTATACATGGAGGGGTGTGTGTGTTGTTCTGATTATATTGTTTTGGAGTCTTGGGTTTTTTGACCGCATCTGTTTATTGGTTTTGCAATAGTTTTTTATTTTTGGGTGTGTGTGTGTGTTCTTCTTCTGATTATGTTGGTTTGGAGTCTTGGGTTTTATAACCATTTTCTGTATATTGGGTTTGCACTTGTTTTTTTTTTTTTGGTGGGTGTTTGTTTTTCTTCTGATTATCTTGGTTTGGAGTTTAGGGTTTTATGACCAATTTGTGCATATGGGTCTTTTTGTAAGTACCACGCCTGTTCATTCCCGCTTCTATTAATCACTCATTTCTTACTCTTCTTAAACCCTAACCCCAAACCTTTATTAAATTATATTCTTATACATGGGTATATAATTTAATAGCTCTTTAGCCATGTGTATATGCTTATGTGTGTGTGTGTGTGTGTGTGTGTGTGTGTGTGTTTCTGTTATTACTATGAATGTCTTGGTTTGGACTTTTAGAGTTTAGGGTTTTATGACCATTTTGTGTGTATTGGTTTTGCAATTTGTAGTTTGGGCGGATGCAGACACGTGGTTTGAAAGACAGCAACAAGAAGAGGAAATGAAGCGTCTTCAGGAGGAGAACCAAGCTGCAATGGAGGTGGCAGAGGAGTTGCACAGGAAGAAAATGGCTGAGGACCGAGATGGGGAAAAGGAGGAAGAAACAGAGACCAAGGATGATCCCATGGCAAGGGCTGAAGCTGAGGTTTTGAAGCAGGAGAGCTAGTTCTTTGCTATGGAGTCAGCTTTCAAGGGTCGATTTCATAGTTCTAAAAATAGAGAAACAGGGGAATTGAAATGATTTGTTACCTATTCTAATTCGGATTTTTCCCTCCTTTGTATTTGATCTCTCTGGATGAGTTGATGCTGGTGGATCTTGTACTTGCTTTTTTGTGTAGAGATAATCAATATGATCCAATTTTACTTTCAGTGTGCTTGAATTTTTCTTCCTATGTTCTATCAAATTCTGTTTTCATTAGATTGAATGAATGTACTGCATGGTGGATCTTGAATCTTTGTCTGCTGCCCTAGATCATTCCTGTTCTTGATGTTGGCTGAGTTATGGTGTTATCCTTGAAGATTCTGATTTGGAATTGGAACATAAAAATTGGAGAAACTCCAAAACTGTTGAGCCCCGGGATTGGGAGTGTACCCAACATGGGGAGGATCAAACTACAATATGCACATCCAAATCTGAATGAGTTCTCTGTATTTCATATGTTGAGTTGAAATCAGATTCTTAAGGCTCTGTTATGCAGGATGATCCTCAGATAAACGAGAACAACTCTTACAGTGAATCACACTGCTTGCATTAGCCTCACATAACTTCTCTTGCAAACCAATTTTCGGTTAAGTAAATCTAATGGTGGTAATGAGATCTCTCATAAAGGCCAGAATAAGTGTAACTCCACATCAAAGAGGGAATGACCAAAATCTAAACTAGTCTGGAACCACTTCTCCCATCTTCAAGATGGAGATGGTGATCAGCCACTGGACCTGTCCGGTTGGATAACAAACCAGTGCAAGAGGAAATCTGATGAATCACTGGATGGGATTCCCTGACCTACACTATTCATGTCCATAACATGGAACATTTGGAAGGACAGAAACAAATTCTACATTGAAAATATACCTCCACCATCCTACGTAACTGCAAGGAATGCCAAGCAGCTGGCCCAGGAAATAGTTCAAGCCTTTGAAGAACTGGTTCAGAAGGCCCCAATGAAAGAAGCCAGGCTAATTCTTGGAATTTTCATTTCACAAGTTGGAACAAGCTCAATACAGATGGATGCTCCAAGGTAACCCAGAGCAAGCAGGAATTGGTGGAGTCCTCGGGGATGAAAGAGGCTATTGGGTAAAAGGTTTCTTTGGAAGAATCAATAACACCTCAAGTCTCAATGCTGAGCTATGGGCCATTTACAAGGGACTCAAACTCGTAGCTGACATGGGGAGAAGAATTGTTATTGAGACAGACTAATATGAAGCCTATAGTCTCATAATGGAACTACATGATGTTGCCACCTGAGAAAATCTCAAAGCCTGAGAGCAAACTTAGCAAGAACTTTTTTTGTATGGGAACCCAGTTAGATTGATGTTCCCCTCTCCAAAGCACCAAAAAAAAAAAAAAAAAAGAGGGCATGGCAGTTTCATAGGCTGGTGGGAGCGTAAAGCATATGCACTTCCCAACAAAAGAAGGCATGGCAGAACATAGAGCATAAATAGAATGCAACCAAAAGAGGCAAGCCTAAATTCAGACTTCAATCGATTAGAAGTGTTCATCTGTCCAAAAAAAAAAAGATTGCTTGTTCAATTTCTGGTCCAAAATGAAGATAAGGCTGTCTACTACTTATCTCTTCTAAATCTTGTTACAAACCTCGTTATAGGTAGGAATTTTGTGTACCCATAAGAGGTAAGCCACTAATCAAAGAACAAATCACATTATTAACTCAACTATTCTCAAGTACCTACGTTCGCAAGCTTGGTACAAGAACATCAAAGAATATGTTCCAGAAAAATAAAATGTCAGACACTTTACCAGTACACGACCAGCATGTTTACTGGAATTCAACGCAATGGAATCCAAGACCTTGTGAATTAAACTCCTTATTTCATGCAAATGATCTTCTCCGGTCCAGCATTGCATCACAAAGCTTCACAGCATCTAGATTATCTCTCACATTGTGTACTCTAATAATATTTGCACCCCCCAAAACCCCGGTTGTGACAGAAGCAACAGTTGCTGGATCTCTCTCAACTGCAGCAGGGCGTGCACAGATTTCACCTAGAAATTTCTTTCTGGAAGGGCCAATCAATAAAGGAGCATGAGAAACTGCCAAGCTCTTCCTTGCAATCTCGGCTCGAATGGTTGGTAAGCCCCTGAGGATGTCCAAATTATGTTCAGTCTTCTTTGAGAATCCAATTCCAGGGTCTATAATAATACTCCAAGCTGGAATGCCTGATAACTCTGCATCTCTAACCCGCTCATATAACTCTGATGCAACTACCTCACAAACATTGTCATACACCAGATTTTCACTATTTTGCATAGTAGAGGGGTCACCTCTCATATGCATTGCAACATAAGGAACCCTATGGCCTGCAACAACACTAAACATTTTCGAGTCTAACTGCCCACCAGATACATCATTTACAAGATGAGCCCCTTTGCTTATGGCCTCTGAAGCAACCTGTGAATAAAAGGTATCCACAGATAGAAGCTTTCCCTGTACCTCGGGAATCTTTACAACCTCTTCTAAGACAGGAATTAGTCTATCCAACTCTTCCTCCGCAGAAATTCTATTTGCCATTGGGCGTGTGGATTGTGCACCGAGATCAATTATTTCTGCTCCCTCAGAGATCATAAAGCGGACCTGAGAAACTGCATCTTCTACAGACTGATACTTGCCTCCATCGCTGAAACTATCTGGAGTTAAATTAAGGATACCCATGACAGAAGTTTTCTGTGACCAGTCCCATAAGCAATTTCCAATGGGCAATACCCTCTTCAACCCATCCTTTCCAATTAAAGATTCACCACCAAGTTTCTCCCATGATTCATAAAGCCCACCAGAATGAATTGCAAAGGAATGCCAGCCCGCAACTGTGTCATTATCTATATGCGATCCCAACAAATCAATCAATGGAGCCATTACAAATGGTCTCTCCCAAATTCTTTCATGGGGGACAGTAAGAATCTCAGATCTAATCCTAAACTTCCCATAAAACAATATATCCAAGTCAATCGGTCTTGGACCATACCTAATCCCATCAGTTCGACCCATGTCCTTCTCAATTTTCTTAAGCACTCCCAGCAGCTCATGGGGCCCGAGTTTTGTAACCCCTCTAACAGCAGAGTTGAGAAAGAGGGGCTGATCAGTCACATAAGCAGGTTCTGTTTCGTATAAACAACCGTGCCTTCTGATATGTACGCCTGATCTCTTCATTAGCTGCAAGGCTTCATTGAAATTTTGAAGTCTATTTCCCACATTGCTTCCCAAAGCAATTATTACTTCCTGCTCTCTAGAATGAACTTCCACCAAGGTATCTGGGGTTGAATGGAATAAGGAAAGACATGCTGTTCGAAAGAAGACACAGAGAAATTATCAATGCCAGCAGTCAAACCCTCCACTATTTATTTATTTTTCTCATAAAAATTCTACATTTGTTCCATTTTATCAGCCAAGTGTGCGCAACTTTATGTAATTTCATCGAACTGAATATGAAAAATCAAGAGCAGACCCACTTCAAATGGCACAATCTTCAATTAGTTTTCTTAGTTGGGACCTATTAATAGCTCAAACTCAATGAAAATGAGGACACGTTACCTCTAGAAGATGTGAGGGAAGCTCTGAGGCCACATTTTGTAGGCACAAACAGCTTGAAGATGTTCATGCTAGAAGCAGGTTGAAAAGCCACACAATTTCCTCAGAGTATGCAATTGAACCAGACTACTGCAAATCACATAGCACATAAGGTAGTCATTAACAAGCATCGACAAACAACCAATTACAACACCACCAGTCACTGCACCATACCAAACACTGCATCTTCACCATTCAACCTCAATTTCATATCCCAACATCTCGATTCCTCTTAAGGATTTGTAAAGAGTCTAGATAAGAGAGAGAGAGAGAGGGTTTGGGTGGGTGAGTGGGACTTGGAGAGCCGCTGAGAAAGAAGAGCAGCGGAGGGACGATGACAGATGTACAGAAGATGTTGAGGCTATTTTGTCTTTTGGATATGTTTTTTTTCATAACAACTCGTATAGCAGGCGCGTGACTCATTCGTAGGGTTAAATGTAATGGTGCATTTTACTGTTTTACCCAAAGCGCTCATCCTGTAAATTCGAAGTTCGGTGTGACCTTTTAAACCCCATGTTTTTGTTGGGACTTTAGCCTTGCACAGTGGTAGTGAAGCTCTCCTTCGATGGCGTCACTGTCTTTCACACAATTTTATTCAGTGCCCAGGTTCTCTCTTAATCTCTTGTCTTTAATTTTCTGTTTTAAGTGCATTTGATGCTGTGTATCATACACACCCGAAAGTTTAACATCAAACAAGAACCCACTTTTAACATTTCCAGTCAAACCCGGCATATATTATCTTGTGAATCTCTCTCTCTCTCTCTCTCTCTTGGGGGTTGTAAATGGTGGGGTTGAATTGTCTAATGGAGCTGTATTCTTGAATGTGAATGATAACAAATATGGCATGGATTTGAATCTTTTGGTTTTCATCTAACTTACCATGTCAATTAGGCTTTGAGATTCTTCGGTCTTGACTGAGATGACTTATAACCCTATTTAGCATCGAAGTGTACTGACAATTCAGCTATTAACAAATCCATCTCCCATTTGGGTATTCAGGTGGCATCCTAATTGGCCTTTCTTCTGGTCCACAAACTCGTTACAACTTCAAGATTATAGATTGGGGAATAGATGGGTTCTTACAGCAGTCTCTAGGGAAAAAAATGGTGGGACATCAGCTCAAGACGCATCAGATGGAGAAGTGGTGGTAGAAAACAAGACTCTTAAAACTTCTAGACGAGCTCCCAGTAGGAGTAGGAAAAAGGAAATATCAGAGGTTCCAGAGGAAAATTCTTTGTCAGCAGTGAATGGTGAAATAACAAATGGGGAAAGCATAACACCTGCAGGGTTAAAGGAGGATTTGAAGAAAACCCAAAGACGAACTCGAAGAAGAGGTCTACTTGTTATCTTATTTTGAGCAAAGCCATTGAAGTTTTGTGTCATCGTTATAATTTCGATGTAGTTTTATGATGTGGTTCTTACTGAAAATTGATATATCTGCAACTTCATGACTGACAGCTGCATCTACTTCTAGTGTCATGGAGGAAGAACTAACTGCAAAGAAGGTGACAAGGCGGAGGAGGACTAAGAAGACGGTAAACGATACGCAGGATCAAGCTAGTGAGGGAGAACTTACTGATCATGAGGATGGTACATTTGTTGCAAATGAGGATGATGATGCTGAAGTAGATGTAGAGATTGGAAAAGTTTGGGGAGAGGATATTAGCTTCACTTACGGATGGCCGCCTCTTGTTTGTTGCTTTGGAGCAGCTCAACATGCTTTTGTGCCCTCCGGAAGGCCAGCAAACAGACTCATAGACCACGAAATGCATGAAAGAAAGAAGGATGCGTTATGGGCTCGTGAAAAGTTTGTTAGGGCTCCGGGGGGATGTGCAAGTAATGTTGCATTGCTACTTGCGAGTTTGGGTGGTAAAGTTGCCTTCATGGGGAAACTTGGGGATGATGACTATGGTCAGTCCTTGCTATTATATCTTAATGAAAACAAAGTTCAAACTCGATCAATCCGTATTGATAGTAAAAGAGTAACTGCAATATCACAGATGAAAATAGGTAAGAGGAGTGGCTTGAGAATGACTTGTGTCAAACCCTGTGCCGAGGATTCTTTATCGAAGTCTGAGATCAATCTTGATGTATTGAAGGAGGTAAGAGCATTTAGTTTTTTGGCCATTATTTATGTTACATTTTCTTATGTTAGAGTTTTGTCTATGCATGATACATTAATCCCCAATATTGTCATCTCATTGATGCTTGTTTAGGTGCCAAGAAAGTGACTGCATAAAAGATGGCGCTTTGGTTGTGTTTGTGCAATAGAGAGGAAATAAAAGCTATGGATTTATCCTTAAACCATTGTTGACTGTACTACAAGAATAACTTTTGACTTATCCTGTTTAAGTAGTTTAAAGAAGAGTAATACTATATGGACTTAAAAAATACACTTAAAAAATAAAATCAATTATTGTAATTATCAAGTCTATTTTTTAAGCCCATGAATCATTGCTCTTTTAAGAATCACTCATGTGAGGCATATTAATTGTTGTGGGCTTCCTCATCTGAAAACCTCTCTTAATGGACCTGTAGATGACCGAAGAACTGAAAGAGATGCTAGTATAATATGGGGTCTGCAAGATCATAAAAAGTTATATTAAAGTTTCGACTAATAACATGATAATTGCCCCCGCCAGCACCGAAAATGATAATAAAAATGAGAATGTTGTCACTAGAACAGACCACACAAATAGGGGTGATCTATGCATGGTCATTCCATGTCCACGCATGTTGGAAATAGTTGTTATAAAATTGATAGAACCTAAAATGGATGATATCCCATATCGATGAATTTGCTTAAACTACATTAACTGTATAATACCTATGATTCCACCAATTTTTTATAGCTCAACTTTGGAGGTTTTGCATGGACTATCACCTATGACCTACCTAAAGTAACTCTACTCATCTTTAGGCTTGGGTTTACTTTTTCTGAATGTAAGCATAACATAGGCCAGGTTTTTTTTGGCTATGTATGTAAACTTTGTCATGTTCTCTCCCCACCATCGTCATGTTTTGTTTGTTGTTATTATTCTTTTTCATGTAGGACGGTCAGGATTTATAACACTGATACAAAGACTGTGTTTTCTGAGTAATTTGTTGGTACCTGTTTTAATTGCACATAGTTAACTTTCATCTCTTTAGTTGATCAAATAATTGATTTCTTCCCATGTATTTACACAAATGAGGTAGGCTATGTGCAAAAAAGCACTCTTCTACGAGCTTAGAGACTAAATTGTAGTACAATTCTCGAAAAGAGGACGTTGCCTAGGACTGGTTGTCCTGTTTCATTATGTTATGGAAGGCTTATAGGTTTAGGATTTTAGCAATTTCAAGTAGGGCTGTAAGATGAACACAAGTTACTTGTGCTTGGCTTGGATTGACTCGTTTGGTATCGGTTTGCTTGATAAATGAGCCAAGAGATATATGAACTTGAGATTTATTATAGAGGCTCTATAGACAGTGATCTTAAATATGGTCCAAACGCCAGTGTTAAATTACGTTCGAGTATCCTTGATTCGTAACTTAAAGCTAATTAGATGGAGTTCAATTTGATTGGATTATCTTAATAAATTATAACACATAACTATATTAAACAAAAACTTGATTCAGGAATCAAGAGGTATCAAGTTGATTTTATCTTGAAAATAAAAATGTTGCAAGATTTTCACTTTAATTTTGTGCTCTCTTGAGCCATTAATGGACTGCATCAAAAACCTTGAAGAAAGGTATGATCTAATTGAATTATGAAGAGTACAATACTTTTGAATACATTGCATGTGCATGACAAAGCAAGCATACTACATAGCTTAATTTACTCACAAGAAGTAGAACTTTGCCACTTTGGTCATAGTAACAAAAATCTGCTGGGGCTTCCTTTTCATGCAGGCTAAGATGTTTTACTTCAATACATTTTCGCTGCTTGACCGGAACATGAGATCAACTGCGTTGCAGGCCATCAAGATTTCAAAAAAGTTAGGAGGGGTTATTTTTTATGATCTTAACCTCCCATTACCACTATGGCAGTCCGGGGAAGAAACGAAGATGTTCATAGAGCAAGTGTGGAAACTTGCAGATATTGTTGAGGTTACCAAGCAAGAACTTGAATTTCTTTGTGGGATCAGGCCCTCTGAGAAGTTTGACACCAGAGACAATGACAGATCAAAATTTGTTCATTATGGACCAGAAGTTGTCGCTCCCCTTTGGCATGAAAATCTCAAGGTATTGTTTGTGACAAATGGGACTTCTAAGATACACTACTACACCAAGGAGCACAATGGCTCTATACTTGGCATGGAGGATGCACCCATTACTCCATTCACTTGTGATATGTCTGCATCAGGGGATGCAATTGTTGCAGGTACAGTCATTTGAAAGTTCATATTTTATTCATATACCCATTTAAACCTCTAATTTCTTTCATTCAACACCCATACAGCTCTCATGAGAATGTTGACAATTCAGCCACATCTTATCACTGACAAGGTATACTTGGAGCACACCATCAAGTATGCCATTAACTGTGGAGTGATAGACCAATGGATGCAGGCACGAATGCGTGGCTACCCTCCTAAAGAAGGTATGGAAGCAGATGTGTCCCCCGATTTCAATGGCATAAGATCAATTACAGAAAGGGAATATTGTACGTTGGTGCCTGTAAGTTGATTAAGTTTGTACTCCAATACAAACTGTTGGTTCTGATATACACTGCAGACAGGCTGGGATTTTATCATTCTTTTCTGCATTGGTATGGTAAATATTTCCTATTATGGCGAGAGATAGCAGATTTATACCTCAATTCATTTTCCTTTTGTTGTCATAAGCTTCCAACCAGTATCTCTCATCCCCATCTAGAATGGTGTTTGGTGTGTTTTCTTTTATCTGCTTTTAGTTGCTGAGGTTTCAGAAATGTAATTGTTACTTCTGCAACCAATCTGAGGTGAGCATGATGATTGCAAATTTGTTGCCACCAGTTCTCAAGGCCATCTTGCTGTGCTTTTTCTGCCTTATTTTAACTTGAAGAGGATTTGATATTTGATTTTGATTGTGAACCCTTTGACCTACCTTTAAATACTGATTTCATTGAGAAATTAGTAAATGACAATGGTACCAATAATCTATAAATATAGTATCCTGAGGTGAAGTTATGCATAGTCAAGTAGAGGCTGGGTATTTTTGTCTTGTCATGTTTCATCAAATAATATAGTCTTAAATTTTATATATCTTGTCATGTTTGGACTTCAATTTTTTTTTTTTGTATTGAATGTATACATTTGACCCTCCGGGCCTCTGAGTGGACGGGAGTCTCGAGCATTGAATCTCTTTGATGATTTTTTGTTGTCATATTTTGCTCCCCCAAAATTAATGGATGACTCCACCCCTGGGGTTGTCCATGGGCCGTATCAAGCGCAACCCACTAATTTTTTGGTCACGTTGGACTGGTCTTAGGATGCCACGTTTAAGTTGACCCATGGACAACCCTAACAATATTATCCATTCGTCACGGCACTGATATTTGATTCCAATGTGCTAATGGAACTCGACTGAAGTTCCTGACAGGTTGTACCGGGGGATTGGTGCGGAAATAAACAAAAAAAAAAAACTTTCCCAATCAAAATATAAATAAATATTTACAATTTATATCCTTAAATTATGTATATGATTTTTATTTAATCCCTGAAATTTAAAGTAAAATAATTACATCTTTAAAATTTTAACCGAACGAGTACGGTACCAACGTCAAACCCTAAACCTTTTAGTAATATATATGACACTTCTCAAGCATGCAAGCATGATTACGTATGACTTTGAGAATGAAGCTTGTGACTTCTCCTCTTCAAAGCGTGGAAAAGACAAGTAATAACAAAATGACGTTCCCTAATTACATGGAAATGTGCATTGAATTTTTTAGCAGCTTATAGCCTGTACAAGATTTTGAGTCGGATAAACATTCTTTTTTTTTCGGGGTGGGAGAAAAAAGACTTGAACCCTTTATCTCAAAGCAAGAGAAATTACTGTAAAATAATTAAAAGCCTAACCTAATCATACAACAATTTTTCCCCAAAAACAATTAGCTACAATCGGAGAATAGTCCGAAGTGTATTGCTAAGGTTCTGTATCGTCTGTTGCTCTTGTACTGCTTGCAATTCCTGGAGTGGCATCTCTTCATAGCACCTAGCACCAAAAAAAAAAAACAAAAACACAATGTAGGTTTGAAGAAAAACAAATTGCTGATGCTTGGTCCTGGCGCTGCCAGATCTATTTAAGAGATGGATGCAATGCATGCTTTGAGCATGTAGAGATAAAAGAGTTGAAGAACACGATGCATTGTGTCTAGTAGCAGCAGAAATGTTTGGCATCTCAATCACAGTAGCAGAAATGAGTTTTTTATAAACTTTTCACTAAGGCAACTCCAGAAGCACTAACACAATATTATTGGAGGAACTGAATGTCATACATTTTGTGGTAAGCTAAAGCCTGGGTAAGATTCATCAGCGTAGGACTTGAAGTGAGTCTCTGGAACACGCTTGGAGGAAGAGGGACCTGCAATGCATTCAAGAGTGTCAGTAGACAGAAGCTCAAATAAATTGGCTTCTACAAAGAGGCAGGGAGAGAGACACACACACACACAGCACCTCATTTTGTCTACTTCGGCCTTTTTTGGACTGTCCATCACCCACAAATAGCTCTTGCATTGCTTCCACTGCTATGTTTCCACTGTTATCCCGCTGACAGCCTTCAAGCACATTATCGGACAGAAGTGCAATAGGAGATATATCTGTTGCCCTCAGAAATGGAATAGGTACAGTGTTTCCAGCTGCATATATGGACCACAGCTACAAGGACAATGAACACCAAATACGCAGGCATCTAAATCCCATAAAGAATGTTGTCACAAGGTAAAGACAGACAGTCATGCCATTAGTTGAGGAGACGCTTAGAAATGTTGACTACAAATTCAATAATGTTGAAACACCATGCCAATTAAGCAGAAAACCTAAACAGACAGTTGCATGAATCAATACCCAAAATGACATTAGCAAGCATCGAGTCATTACAAGGCTGGAGAGAACAATCCATATGCTCCACATGGTTTAACCTCTAATAACACATAAAATTCATACCAGGAGAAGAGTACTAAAATTAAAACAGGACATTTGAAGTTGAAGTAGTGTAGCCCAAGACAAATAGGTGTTTCATCTAAAAATCAATCACACTTCAAAACACAGACCTCTCAAAACCAGCTTGGCAATGTTTTATGTAGAACCTGGAAGTAGAACTTTGTTTGCTTCTCGAACAATTCGGCACAAAGTCTGGAGCAATTATAAAGTTCAGACTGAAAATTACCTTATCTAATGCTTTTCGACTGACAGTCTCAGCCTTTACTGGGCCACCACTTACAGCACCAACACTTCCAACATTGGCCTGGGAAATGCTATTCATCTTAAGATTTTGCCCAAGAGATGCATACATTGAAGGAGAAAATGTTTGTGTCTCAATCTGGATGCCATCCGCAGCAACCCCGACTGCATTAGCCACCCTGATAGGACAAATTTAAGTGAATTGTTACGAGCTAAATTATGTAGAAATAAAACAATAAATACACATAAGCATAACACATACACCGAGCTAGAAGAGTAGATAAAACCTGACCTGCGACCTTACAGATCAATAAATAATATTTCTTGAAAACCTTAACCAGCAAGAGCTGTCTATTACTAGAACTTTTCTATTTCATCAATTTACTCGCTGTTGAAAGCAGACATAGGAACTAAATCAGGAGAGAACATGGCCTCAGTATTTCTCGCATCTATTAAAATTTTTATTATATTTACCATTTTTTGTAGTAGTATTCATGTTGTTGCTTTGTTCTGCCTACATGGATATGAACTTTACGGAGAAGAAAGTACCTGAGATCAACAGATTTATCTCCTGTACCACTGAAGGAAGGACTTTCAATGTGTCCAGCATCACGAGAGGGTTCTTTTGCATTGAGAACTGGCATTTGAGTAGCTGTCTTATCTATCTCATTCCCATCACGAACAATTACAGTCCCAAAATCACCTAGAAAAACGTACTACACAAGTCACCACATGATTCACAAGAGACTATAACCTTTCATCTGATCAGAAAAATATAATTTTCAGAAGGATTAATCAATAATTACACGGAGGCAGGACGGTCTTTATAAGCTAACTTGTTCTTATAATGAAAAAAAAGTAGCAAAATTAGCCTAAATAAAATAAAGCAGTAGCCACTTCATTTCTTTACTTTACAAATCATGACTTTGCCTTTTCCTTCAGTAAGAAATCTGTAACTGTCCAAAACATAGATGCTGGGATTGTGGCTACTCCTAGCGTTTCATGAGCCGGTATCATACGACCCAAAACAGGGTCAATTCGTGATCCAGTTTGCTTAAAGTTCCCACCCAATTAGTGTTATTTTTATTTTTATTTTTTTTTTTTTTTGGGGGGGGGGGGGTTTAAATCTTTTTTTTGGAAACTGTTTTCTCAA